ATGGGTGTAAAAGCAATCAGTGTAAAAAAAGAAAAATCTTCATCACCCCCACAAGTAGTACAGTGTTACCATGGTGACACTGTACTGCTAGGGTGACAGTATGCAAAAAAAAAAAAAAACATAAATAATAATATAAAAAAAAAAATAAAATTGTAAAAAATTAAATAATAGCTGGGTGCCCACACTGAAGATGCCGGCCTCCTGGAATACAGGACAGACAGTGAAACGGGCTATGGGGGACACACCGCGGGACCCAGGAACAGGTAAGTTGCTGTTTTTGTAGCTGCTGATTTTTACTTTTTGACAGGGTGAGTGGAACTCCGCTTTAAACTCTGCACCCTGGGGAACCCCGAGTTGGCTTTCTGACAGGGCTCACTACCGTAGAAACCTGAAAGTCCATTTATTTAAATATGCTTGGAACAAACATACATTTTTACTCAAACAAAAACATAAAGAAAAAAACAAACAAACAAGCAAAATACAAACAATATAAGGAAAAAAAAAAAAAAAAGCAAAACAAAAAAGGTGCAGACTCAGTGGGCTACATGTTTTTTTCTGCTGTCACTCTTCCATGTTTCTATTAGGTTTGTATGGCTGTATATTCCCCCTCTGTGTTGAGTTCTTATCACTTCCCGACCCATCTTCATAACAGGAAATTATTATTATTATACAGGATTTTATATATTATTATTATACAGGATTTATATATTATTATTATTATTATACAGGATTTTTATATATTATTATTATAGGTCTTGGGAGGAGAAGACAGGGGAGCTAGAGAGCAGGGGGTCGTGGGAGGAGAAGACAAGGGAGCTAGAGAGCAGGAGGTCTTGGGAGGAAAAGACAAGGGAGCTAGAGAGCAGGAGGTCTTGGGAGGAGAAGACAAGGGAGCTAGAGAGCAGGAGGTCTTGGGAGCAGGGGACAAGGGAACTAGAGAGCAGGAGGTCTTGGGAGCAGGGGACAAGGGAACTAGAGAGCAGGAGGTCTTGGGAGTAAAAGACAAGGGAACTAGAGAGTAGGAGGTCTCGGGAGGAGCAGACAAGGGAGCTAGAGAGCAGGAGGTCTTGGGAGGAAAAGACAAGGGAGCTAGAGAGCAGGAGGTCTTGGGAGGAGGAGACAAGGGAGCTAGAGAGCAGGAGGTCTTGGGAGGAGAGAAGACAAGGGAGCTAGAGAGCAGGAGGTCTTGGGAGGAGGAGACAAGGGAGCTAGAGAGCAGGAGGTCGTGGGAGGAGAAGACAAGGGAGCTAGAGAGCAGGAGGTCTTGGGAGGAAAAGACAAGGGAGCTAGAGAGCAGGAGGTCTTGGGAGGAGAAGACAAGGGAGCTAGAGAGCAGGAGGTCTTGGGAGCAGGGGACAAGGGAACTAGAGAGCAGGAGGTCTTGGGAGTAAAAGACAAGGGAGCTAGAGAGTAGGAGGTCTTGGGAGGAGCAGACAAGGGAGCTAGAGAGCAGGAGGTCTTGGGAGGAAAAGACAAGGGAGCTAGAGAGCAGGAGGTCTTGGGAGGAGAAGACAAGGGAGCTAGAGAGCAGGAGGTCTTGGGAGGAGGAGACAAGGAAGCTAGAGAGCAGGAGGTCTTGGGAGGAGGAGACAAGGGAGATAGAGAGCAGGAGGTATTGGGAGGAGCATAGAGGACGGTTTGGGTGATATTTTGAGACAAGATTGGTGATGTAATTTGGGGCGGAGTTATAAATGGCTTTATATGTTATTGTTAATGTTTTCAATTGTAATCGTTAGGCAATGGGAAGCCAGTGGAGGGATTGGCAGAGAGGGGTGGAGGACACTGAGTGGAAGCCAGTGGAGGGATTGGCAGAGAGGGATGGAGGACACTGAGTGGAGGCTGGTGGAGAGATTGGCAGAGAGGGGTGGAGGACACTGAATGGAGGTCAATGGAGGGATTGGCAGTGAGGGGTTGAGGACACTGAATGGAGGCCAGTGGAGGGATTGGCAGTGAGGGGTGCAGGACACTGAGTGGAGGCCAGTGGAGGGATTCACAGAGAGGGGTGGAGGACACTGAGTGGAGGCCAGTGGAGGGATTGGCAGAGAGGGGTGGAGGACACTGAATGGAGGCCAGTGGAGGGACTGGCACAGAGGTTTGGCAGATACAGAACGGTTGGTAAGGTGGATGAGTCTGGCAGCAGCATTCATGATAGACTGAAGAGGGGATAGCCTGCGATTAGGTCAGCCAATGAGGAGGGAGTTACAATAGTCAAGGCGACAGATAACAAGGGAGTGAATAAGTTGCTTAGTAATTTCAAGGGTTAAAAAGGGATATATTTTGGAAATGGAGAGGAAATTACAACTTGACAGTTGTCCCCATTGGCTGATCGAAGAACACCCCCCAGTTTTGATGACAACTGTAAAATGTTGTATATTCCATTATTAGAAATGACCAAAGTCTATGACTTTTAATTTTTCTGAAAGTTCTGTAAAAAATCCATTTGAAAGGAACTATATCCAAAGCACATGATACCCTTACAAACCAACAGAAGCAACTTTAAAGCAGAACTCCGTTCAAAACTGTTATTTTCCCATGAAATGGGACTGTGACCTCACTCATTAAGTGCTCGTTTTGTCCAGGGGCTCAGGGAAAAGCTGTACTTACCCATTTCTCTGATTCTCTGGAAAACTGCACTCCCCCCCACGTCCAGCGGTGGACTGTTCCTGCCATCCTCACATCCAGGGCTGGTCTATGGGCATGATGACGCCAGGAACAGCCCATTCACAAGACCGCTAGCATGCGAGGGGGGGGGGGCAGAAGCAGCATTGACGGGTCTTGCGCTTGGAGGATCGACGGATTAGGTAAGTATATATTTTCTTTCCCAGCCCTTAGACAAATACAAGCATTTAACCCATGCAGTGCAGGCACAGCCCCACTGCATGAAGAAATAATAATTTTGCCCGAAATTCTTCTTTAACCCCTAGATGCCGAGCGCACGCAAATATGTGGCCTCTCTGCGTCTGGACCTTGATATTTGCGTGCCATTAGAAAATACATATGTGCTGAAAGCGCACGCCCTGTGAGCTCCCAGCACATAGCACCGTGAATCATGGAAAGGTCCCGATCTCCCCTTGCGATTGGGACCTTTTCCGATCATGTGACCACCGTGACGGCAAATCACGATGGTCACATGACCCTAAAACCCCGCCCACCTCCCGGCTTCTGAAATTCTTAAAGGACCGGGAGGCGCCGGCGTAAAGGGGTGAAATTTAATCTTCACTCCAGTGCATTTCACCAAAATGGCTACTTTCCCTGTAAAGGTTTTTTTTTCTAAAACCTTCGAAATATGAAAACTTTAAATTTTGCTTCTAAACAATCACCAATTACAGACCAACCTACTCCCTGCCTAAAACAATCCCAAGTCCTAGTATGGTGGAAAACGAGGTACTCCCCCGCGCCCCTTCTCAGTTCAATGCCTTGTGCCAATTGTGGTGCCCAAACGCATTCAGGATAGGTTCCCTTTAAGTGGATACTTTGTTTGTTTTATCCCGCGTGATTGATTGGTCCGTTGGAAGGTTGCGTTTATCAGTTTAGGGTACGTTGCGAACATTGCAACATTTTTTGAATGATTAAGAAAATATGAGACTTGTCAAGGAGTCATTTATCAAAGATGTGATACGAGCACGAGACGCTTTCCTCTTCTTCGGTGTATGAAATGTTCTTCAGTCTTTTCAGAGATTTAGGTGAAACGTTGTAGGGATGTGAGTGAGCGATAGGGCGATTCATTCCTTTCGGCACCAGAAGTGACATTTTATGTGGAGATGATAAAGTTTAATCTTCTACGGGAACAGGCTACGGGGCTCTCGGAAAGTTTGAATATCACCAGTGCGGGAGATCAGACTAAATCTGAGATTACCATTAACACTTCTCCGTACCATGAGATGAAATCCCAGCTGCCCTTCAGATACCACCTGAACTATTCCAACTTTTAAAACCGTAAAATGTCTATAAACCAAAAATGTCCTCCTAAAACATTCAAAAAATGTGTCTAACTTTGTGTGCCCAACATTTATTTATTAAAAAATGTAACAATTGAGGAAATGCCTCTTAAAGTGGATCTAAAGGCTGAACCTTCTGTGTGCTGTTCCCCCCACAAAGCTCCCCAATACTCACCTGAGCCCCCTCTTGAACCAGGACTGTGCATGGGAGCCTTGGCTGTCCTGGTACTCCCCCTTTTCATGGGAGCCTTTGGCTGCCACTGCTGTCAATCACAGCCAGTGAGTCAACGAGGAGAGAGTGGGGTGGGGGGTATAGCGTCAGGCTTGAGAGTGAGCATGCACCAGTGCCTCCATAGCAAGCAGATTGCTATTGGGGGTACTGGTCAAGGGGGAGGAGCCAGGAGCACCAGCGGGGGACCCGAGAAGAAGAGGATTGGGGCTGCTCTGTGTAAATCCACTATGTATGATGTGTGGGTTTTTTTTAAGCCAAACCTTAACCACTTTAGCATTTTGCATGTCCAGGTAGGGGGCGCACTCAAGCCATTCGCACCCACGGCTGTCAATCACTGGGTCCCGGCTGGTGATTGCTCGCCAGCTCCCGGTGATTGTCAAGGATCTCCGACGGGGGTGGGGTGGGTTAGTAAACAAAACAGATCTCTCCCCTGTCAGCTTCTGTATACTACTTTGTATGGCTCTGCACAGCAGAGCCATACTAAGCAGTGTGCTTACAGTGAAGCAAAAACACAGAACATCATGTAAAATGGCACACAGTTAACCCTTTGATCACCCCACATGTTAACTCCTTCCTGCCCAGACTTGAAGTGGTTAAATATGGGACCAGGAATGTATGCTTGGATACATGAGGATTCAATCTTTGGAAGTAATAAATGAAGAAACAATATTAGGTAGAAGCATCCCAACGCAGATCTCTGGCGTACATCACTCGGATTATTTGTTGCAGCTGGTTAATTCTTTGCTTGCAGCTGGGGCCGGGGGATTTACATTGCATCTCTTTCTTGTTTCTTATTAGAGGTAGAAGTGGATTTTAAAGGGAGAACTGTGATTTTTAATTTATATATATATATATATATATATATATATATATACATATATACAGGTGTGCTCAAAAGTTTGCATCCCCTGGCAGAAATTGTGAAATTTTGGCATTGATATTGAAAATATGACTGATCATGCCAAAATTTTTTCTTTTATTGAAGGATGATGATCATATGAAGCCATTTATTATCCAATAGTTATTTGGCTCCTTTTTAAATCATAATGATAACAGAAATCACCCAAATGGCCCGGATCAGAAGTCTCTGCCCCCCGGATCAGAAGTCCCTGCCCCCGGATCAGAAGTCTCCGCCCCCGGATCAGAAGTCTCCACCTCCTGGAATGTTTGGCCTTGGTACAGACACACAAGGTGACACACACGGGTTACAATGCCAATTAGAGGTTAATGGCCCACATCTGTGGCTTTTTAAATTGCAATCAGTGTCAGTGTATAAATAGTCAGTGAGTTTGTTAGCTCTTACGTGGAAGCACTGACTAGGCTAGATACTGAGCCATGGGGATCAGAAAAGAACTGTCAAAAGTCCTGCGTAACAAGGTAATGGAACTTTATAAAGGTGGAAAAGGACATAAAAAGATGTCCAAAGCCTTGAAAATGCCAATCAGGGCTGTTAAATCACCTATTAAGAAGTGGAAAGTTCGGGGATCTCTTGATACCAAGCCAAGGTCAGGTAGACCAAGAAAGATTGCAGCCACAACTGACAGAAGAAAAATCCCACAGGCAACCTCAAAAGAAATCCAGGCTGCTCTGGAAAAAGATGGTGTGGTTGTTTTTAAGGAGTACAATACGGTGATACCTGAACATAAATGAGCTGTTTGGTGGAGGTGCCAGAAAGATGCTTTTACTGCACTAAATGCCACAAAAAAGCCTGGTTACAATATGCCTGACAACACCTTGACATGCCTAACCGGGCCTTCTTGTGTCATTGATGCAGTAAAGGCTTCTTTCTGGCACCTCCACCATGCAGCTCATTTATGTTCAAGTGTCACCATATTGTGCTCCTTCAAAACAACCACACCGTCTTTTTCCAGAGCAGCCTGGATTGTTCTTGTTGTTACCTATGGGTTTCCCTTTGTATCCTGAATAATTCTCCTGGCAGTTATGGCTGCAATCTTTCTTGGTCTACTTGACCTTGGCTTGGTATCAAGAGATCCCCAAACTTTCCACTTCTTAATAGGTGATTGAACAGTACTGATTGGCATATTCAAGGCTTTGGACATCTTTTTTATGTCCTTTTCCATCTTTATAAAGTTCCATTACCTTGTTACACAGGACTTTTGACAGTTCTTTTCTGATCCCCATGGCTCAGTATCTAGCCTAGTCAATGCTTCAACGTAAGAGCTAACAAACTCCTTGACTATTTATACACTGCCACTAATTGCAATTTAAAAAGCCACAGATGTGGGACATTAACCTCTAATTGGCATTGTACCCCGTGTGTATCACCTTGTGTGTCTGTACCAAGGCCAAACATTCCAGGGGGCGGAAACCTCTGATCCAGGGGGCGGAGACTTCTGATCTAGGCCATTTTGGTGATTTCTGTTATCATTAGGATTTAAAAAGGAGCCAAACAACAACTATTTGATAATAAAATGGCTTCATATGATCATCGTCCTTCAATAAAGAGCATTTTTTTGGCATGATCAGTCATATTCTCAATATCAATGCCAAAATTTCACAATTTCTGCCAGGGGATGCAAACTTTTGAGCACAACTGTATATATATATATATATATATATATATATATATATATATATATTAAAAATCACATTTCCCCTTTAAGATCCACTTCTGCCTCTAATAAGAAACAAGAAAGATGCAATGTAAATCCCCCGGCCCCAGCTGCAAGGAAGGAATTAACCAGCTGCAACCAAATAATCGCAGTGATGTACGCCAGAGATCTGCGTTGTGATGCTTTTACCTAATATTATTTCTTCATTTATTACTTCCAAAGATTGAATCCTCATGTATCCAAGCATACGTTCCCGGTCCCAAGGAGATACATTGTATCATTATTGTCACATATTCATAGTCCTGAAGACATATATTGTATCATTATT